ATATCTGCCAAAATATGAAGCTTCTCGTGCTTCTTCTTTACACTAGAGAGATGGTCCTGCCAGCTTTGGCAAGCTGGACTCCAAACTAGTAACCAAACCACCAAGTGCTTACCATAACCATAGGACATTATTGTTTCTAGTTAATATATACTTGGTGTTGCAAACATTTTTACTTATATATTTTTTTTAAATATCATTTCAGTGAAATTTAAGAAAAATGTTTATAAATTAATGAAAAACTTGGCCTATTTTGGCAAGTGGTTAAAAGCTAATTTTTAAATTTTTTTGAATTTTTTAGATTATATCACATCTTTATTTTTTTGCACATTTTTAAAAAAAAAAATAAAAAAACAAAAAATTGACTATTAACCTCCTTCCCAAATTAAAAGTCCCTTGTAAAGTTTTTTATGAAATTGATATTTACTTTTGAAGTTGCCACTGATTTGCTATTTCTCCTATTTTTTCACCATCGATCTTATACTTTTTTTTTACCATCGATCGAGGGAGTATAGGAGAAGCGAAAAATGCATAACACATTAATAAAATATGAATCCAGACTTTATATTTGGTAAGAGAGCAGAAGTTATTTAAAATTTACCTTTTTAATGACTTTTTTGTTGCATTTAATATTTTTTTTCAAAAAAATTCAAACTCTTAGAATTAACTTTACTAGCTAAAAAAGATTTACTAAAAACAAAATCAGTAAAAAATAGTTGGTTTTTTTCATATCTTTTTTTAAAATTTTTTTTTTGTTTTTATTGTACACTAGATGATCCGGAAATGTAAAAATTGTTGACACAGCCGGAAACAAAGCATTAAAGAAAAAAAAAAGGGTGATAATAAATAGAGTAAATTACAATAAATTCACTTAAATTATGACTCATTTGTACTTTGTTTCCCTAAATTTCAAAACTCAATAGTTAATCCTCTCAAAGTATTATCTTATTACACTCAATCATTTTTGTTAGGATTTTGTTATAAATTTACAAAAAATCAGATCATGTGTAAAAAACATGACATGCTTATTAAATTTCTAGGGTAATAATGCCCTTATTTGGTGTTCTCGTTTATATTTTGCCACTAAAACAAGAGAGACAAAATGCAAATGAAACCACCAGATAAGGGTATTATTATCCTAAACAATAAATAACATGTATTATTTTTCTAAAAATTCAATATATTGTCATTTAATTTACACATAATCTGATTTTCTGTAAATTTGTAACATAATCCTAACATAAAGAGTTAATTGTAATAAAATATACTTTGAGAGGATTAACTATTGAGTTTTGAAGTTTGAAAGCAAAGTGTAAATGAGATGTAATTATATTTTCACACACTAATTTTCTTCTTTTTTTTTTTATACAGATGAAAGCAAACAACACAGAAAGGAAAACAGGGCAACAAGGGCTAAGCCCTCACGGCACCAACTCCAATCATATCCTCAATAACAAGAGCTCTAACAGCTTCGGGGGGATCTTCTAGCATGACCACATGGTCAGTCTGCACCACTCCAAGGTTAGCCAGCAAATCAGCAACTCTGTTGCCTTCCCTCAGCGTGTGTCGAAGGGAACAATTGCAACGCTTCAGTAGGAACTTGGTATCCTCAATGAGAGCTCGAAAAGGGGAATTATGGCTCGGACCACTGTGAATTAAGTCAATAGCATGGGCCGCATCAGTCTCAATAGCCACATTCAATGTGTTTTTCTGGAAAAGGATGGTTAGTCCGCGATATATAGCCCATAACTCAGCTTCCACAGCAGAACAGTGGCCCAGATATCTGTAGTAACCCCAAACCCATGTACCAGCTTCGTCCCGTAGGAGTCCTCCATAACCAGCTTGTCCAGGGTCGCCCTTGGAGCAACCATCAGTGTTGAGCTTTAGAGTACTTGCAATAGGAAAACACCAATTAATAGATGTAGGAGTTATTGAATTGGGATGGAGAGAAGAAGAGAAAGCCTCTTCAATCTCATGAGCATAGGTCCAAATATTTTTGAGACTAGCTTGAATGGGTTGGCTAACATTTTCAAAAACCATGAGATTGCGAACTTTCCAAATCTGCCACAGAGTGGCAGAGAAGAATCTGTACCACTTAACATCAAGAAACACATTTTTATTTTTCAAATTAATCGCCACCCATTCTGCTAGAGATAAGCTGCAACCTTCCTCCCACCATCTAAGGCCTTTAATTTCAGTCCAAATAGCTTTAACACAGGGGCACTCGCGCAGGAGATGGCTTGAATCCTCACTATATAGGCCACATCTGGGGCACACTGCTGTGGTTGTCATTCTTCTTTACACTAGAGAGATGGTCCTGCCAGCTTTGGCAAGCTGGACTCCAAACTAGTAACCAAACCACCAAGTGCTTACCATAACCATAGGACATTATTGTTTCTAGTTAATATATACTTGGTGTTGCAAACATTTTTACTTATATATTTTTTTTAAATATCATTTCAGTGAAATTTAAGAAAAATGTTTATAAATTAATGAAAAACTTGGCCTATTTTGGCAAGTTGGTTAAAAGTTAATTTTTAAAATTTTTTGAATTTTTTAGATTATATCACATCTTTATTTTTTTGCACATTTTTAAAAAAAAAATAAAAAAACAAAAAACAAAAAATTGATTATTAACCTCCTTCCCAAATTAAAAGTCCCTTGTAAAGTTTTTTATGAAATTGATATTTACTTTTGAAGTTGCCACTGATTTGCTATTTCTCCTATTTTTTCACCATCAATCTTATACTTTTTTTTTACCATCGATCGAGGGAGTATAGGAGAAGCGAAAAATGCATAACACATTAATAAAATATGAATCCAGACTTTATATTTGGTAAGAGAGCAAAAGTTATTTAAAATTTACCTTTTTAATGACTTTTTTGTTGCATTTAATATTTTTTTTCAAAAAAATTCAAACTCTTAGAATTAACTTTACTAGCTAAAAAAGATTTACTAAAAACAAAATCAGTAAAAAATAGTTGGTTTTTTTCATATCTTTTTTTAAAATTTTTTTTTTGTTTTTATTGTACACTAGATGATCCGGAAATGTAAAAATTGTTGACACAGCCGGAAACAAAGCATTAAAGAAAAAAAAAAGGGTGATAATAAATAGAGTAAATTACAATAAATTCACTTAAATTATGACTCATTTGTACTTTGTTTCCCTAAATTTCAAAACTCAATAGTTAACCCTCTCAAGTATTATCTTATTACACTCAATCATTTTTGTTAGGATTTTGTTATAAATTTACAAAAAATCAGATCATGCGTAAAAAACATGACATGCTTATTAAATTTCTAGGGTAATAATGCCCTTATTTGGTGTTCTTGTTTATATTTTGCCACTAAAACAAGAGAGACAAAATGCAAATGAAACCACCAGAGAAGGGTATTATTATCCTAAACAATAAATAACATGTATTATTTTTCTAAAAATTCAATAAATTGTCATTTAATTTACACATAATCTAATTTTCTGTAAATTTGTAACATAATCCTAACAAAAAGAGTTAATTGTAATAAAATAATACTTTGAGAGGATTAACTATTGAGTTTTGAAGTTTGAAAGCAAAGTGTAAATGAGATGTAATTATATTTTCACACACTAATTTTCTTCAATTCACACACTTAACGAAATTTTTTCTTAGTACAATTTTATCCTAGAATAAATATACCATAATATCCTTATCTCCTTTCACCCAAACCCTAATTCTAAAACATGACAACCATTCCCCATCGCTATTGACACCTCTCTCCTCCACTACCCCTTCTTGTCATTTCTTTGCCCCTCTACCTATGATCACCTTCCGCCATAAAACCATTCACTTCCACAAGTTTCCTGTCGCAAACCACCCACTTTCAAGGTTTGATTGTGGAGGCCTGGGATGAAAGGGAGCTGGGAGTAACAGTGATGGAGGGCTAAAAGTGGCTGCAACAACAACGAAGGAAGGTGGGTGGATGGAAGAAAAATTAGGGTTTTAAAATTGAAAATGAGGGTATTATTGAAATCAAGAGATGTGTACTAAGATTTTTAGTTTTGTTGATGTGTATATTGAGAAAATGTTCATTAAGTATATGCATTGAGGAGAATTGATTTGTGGAAAGAAAATTACCAGTAAATGAGTCTTAGTTTGTGAGAGTTTACCATAATTTACCCAGATAAGTACTCGAAGTCTTTCACGAGTTTGTTATCAATTTCGTAAAAAAATTACAAATCAATGGTATTTTTACAAAATATTTATAAATTCATAAAAACGTTTATAACTTCAATTATTAAAATTCACAAAATTTACAATTGATTTAAATTTTTTTAAAAAACATATGCAATTTTTCCTTCTTTTTTTTGTGTGTGCGTGATTCACAACATTAATGTGTTTTTTATCAATTATTTATTTATTTATTTAGTTATTAATTTATTTTTTTATGAAATAGTTACCAAAATCACTAATTTTGTACCATAATTAGTCTTAGATCAATAGATTTATGGGTGATCATATATTTGTCGAACCAGCTTAATACAATTGAACCGACGCCATTCAATTGATTTTGAGTGGATGCATATTTTTCGACGGACGGATGCGGATTAAATATTTCAAAATTTAAGAATATGATTTAGATGGCGGATCAACTATTCCGTATCCACATAAACTCGATCTTCCCGTAGATAAAGTTCAAAAAAAAAATTTGCTAAAACAAGTAACCGTAGAAATAATAAAAAATACATTTTTATTAAAATAGAAAACAATACCTCAAAAATATACATGCCTGATATCAAGGCATATTATAAACAAATAATACATATTTTTCAAATTATTAATAATTAGAAATTATAAAAGATATGAATTATAATTTTTTTTAAAAAATAAAAGATATATAAAGTCTAAACTGTCAAACCAGTCATATCTATTCCTTAACTTACATAACCCGCTCAATTCATATCTACTAAATCAGTGAACAGATACAAATTAATTTTTTCTAACCCGTTTAATTTTAGACTGATAACGAAGGAAATGCCAGCCCACCCAACCCACAATCACCCGCAGATCCACAGTGTCACACCCAAGTGGAACAATAACATACGCATATACCTACATATCTGTACCTATATATATATATATATAAATGAATCCCAGGATCTCTCCTCTATGTTCCTCCGTTGCAGATCTGCATCCGTTTCTGCATTCACACTCTACTCCACATTATTAGCTTCCTTCTCGTCACCCAATTTTCCCCAGGTAAATCGCACTTTTTCATTGGCTCTTCATTCTTCGTATTCTATCTAGTTTTATTTCCTTTTGTCGATTTGGAATTGCAATTCAATCCGTGAGTTCTCAGCTTCAAATCTATAGGAGTAAATTTTTTTTTTCTCGGGAAAGATTTTTGTTTGTGTGATTTTCCTTGGAAACAAACGGGTGTTTCGACTTTAACTGAGTCGACTCACAGAATTTGTGGAACTTCATGAGATGAGAGTAATGCATACTCTCTCACTGTCTATATTTCTCTTTGAAGCATAATTTGCCTGATTTTTCCTTTTATTTTTTAGTTATAATATTTGAATTGAAGCTTTTCGAGCTTGTTGTTTTGATGGCAGAAAATTTTGGATACTGAAATGGCAGCAAGGAAACCTGGATTAATTGCTTTGTTTGATGTTGATGGCACTCTTACCGCTCCCCGAAAGGTGCCAATTTCCTTCTCCTATTCTTCTTGTTTCATTTTAGCACATGATTAATTTTGTGGCCAAAATATATTTTTTTTAGTTTTTTTGATATACAGTGATATTTCTTATAATCTGTAAGGCTGTCTTTGGATCATGGATTTGAAAAGGGAAAAGAAAATTTGAGTGAAATATAAGCAGGAAAGGAAAAGGAGAGGGAAATGTAAATGAAATATAAGTTTTTTTTTCTTCCCCTTCATTTATCTTGCTTGTTCCTTTCCATTTCCAAATCTCTGCCTAAATCTATGATCCAAAAACAGTCTAAAGATACATAAATGTGGCTTTTTCACCTGTTGGTTTCTTGGAGATCAAGGGCTGTCTTAGTGAATGAGGTGCTCCTTATCTGATGTCTGAATTCAAGTCTTACCACCATGTGATGCAGTTACCCCTACCCCTATTCCCTGTTTGTGAAAAAAAAAAAAAAAAAAAAGGAAAAGAGAAGAGAAGAAAAGAAAAGAAAATACCTATTGGTTTCTTTTTGACTAGCTTCAATGTGGAAGCTTATTTATTGGAAACTTAGATCCATGTAGCTGACGGCCTATTAATAGTGATTAAGCTTGTCAATCATCATAAGATGATACTAAGTTCATGGTTTTGATGCCTAATTTTATGCTAAAAAATTATAAAAAGTGCTCGTAGCCCTGCCTTTTTGTATCTTCTAAAGATGGTTAATTTTCCAATTTAGCGAGACCCAAGTGGTTATGATCATATGGAACTTTCCATAGTTATCTGATTTGTTTAGGCTGTCTTGGATCAATAGAGAAATTTTAGTGGCTTTGGTGAAATTCCCTTTTATTTAATATTTGCATTTGCTATTCCAATTTCAGGTTGTTACTCTGTATATGCTGAAGTTCATGCAGGAACTTCGAAAGGTACTACATTGATTATTGTGATAACCCCTCAATGCAATGTGAAGTGATTTTTTTGTCACGGTTTTTTAAATTGTCCTTGAAACTTACAATTAGTGACATTTTTCTTTGATAAATTTTTCAAACTGTCCCTAAAAGTTAAAAATTAGTGACCTTTTTTTGTGACGATTTTTTAAAACTGTTGCTAAAACTTATAATTAATGGTATTTTTGTGACAAAATTTTCAAACTGTTGCTGAAAATTGACAATTAGTGACATTTGTTTCTTAGATCTTGCTTGTCGAAAAATCCACAGCCAAATACCCTTCTCATCTCGGATTAAGCCACCAAACCTGCACATTTCAACTTCGTTCATGTGGTAATAAGATGCAGTTTTTCCTTCATTGTGAACTAATTAGTTTTCAAAGGTTTCATTTCTTCATCAGCAATTACATGTAATAGATAGAATATAAGTGTCAATATGTTTTAATTTATTTATTTTTTTATTAGGCTTTGGTAGATTTAGGAAGTAATAGAAAAGATTGTGCTGGTGATTGTTTCTTGGATCTTGCTTACTTTCTAAGTGATTTGGTTTTCTAGGATTCGCATTTTTTATCCATGGCCTATTGTCCAAAAATTTGGGGTATAATAAGGTGATGAGTGTGAATATTGTTTGCTAATTATTCTTTGATTTGCATGTTAGTTGTTTGAGAAAAATCTCAAAGTTGAAAAATTAGTTGATATTTATTACCCCATACTAGTAGGAAACATCACTTGGGAAACATTTTACTTCATAGAAACATTAATGGAAAATGCTAGTGTGTATTCTAATTCAGTTTGTGAATGTGTCTCAGATTAGGTAAAAAACTTTCACTCCTAAACTTTCAAGTGAAATTATGGAAAATTCTATTGCCTTGTTTGGTTTTGATTGATTTTCTGAAAATTGTTTTTTTTTGGTTTTTAGCCAAAAATTTAAATATTTGAAGTTAAGTGCATCTAAAAAATAAGAAATTTCTTAAAATATCAAAATTTTTGACTAAAAACAAAAAAAACATAGAAAACAAAAATCTCAATTTTCTGAAACCAAACAAGGTAATGTTTCTTGTGGAATGCATGTTCTTGCCTTGTGGGTGATCACATTGTTTATATGATTTGATGCAGTATAATCTTTACTACATTTTCTTCAAGCTTTCCGTTTTAATCTTCTTTGTCTTCCTACATTCTGTTTTTCAAAAGTTCTTTAGAAGTAATATTGTGGTTCACTGCTTGACTTTTTACTCCATGTTCGCTATATGTGCAGTTATAAATGACTATGACTACGTATTTGCGGAAAATGGTCTTGTGGCCTATAAGGATGGGAAGCTCATTGGGACCCAGGTATTGTCTAAATCTATACCAGAATCTTTTACCTCAGGTCCAAGATTCAAATGCTACTTCATAAAAATTTGTTGAAAATGATTCACACTGTCCTTATTTATGAGCAACCAAGGTCTTGGATGTTTCAGAATTAATTGTAGGACTTGGATAGGAGGCTTGAAATTTGGCTTTCCAATTTGGCCTCTTAAATGCCTAGGAAGCTATAACCCTTGAACGATGCCTTGATACAACAAATTCTTTAGGGAGTACCAAAAGAGGAATAAAAAACTAAAATAATACATTTGAGAACTTTAGATTAAAGTACAGAAACTACAAATCTGGTAAAATAGTGTTTTAATGTCAGAAGATAAAGTCTAGATTGAAACAGAGAATGTTGTATTCTCAATTTGCATATTTTGAAAGATTTAATATACAACTAGAGGTTAACCAATGCAGTGGTTTCAGATAAAGGGGAAATACAGCACCATAAAAAGTATTTGATAACATTCAAATATGTTTTCCTCATATTTTAACTTTTTTCAATATCTAATAAATTAAATCTGCCGATTCATCCCCTCGATAGCTTAAAATTTTTGATCACTGGACCATAGTCTCAATATTTTTTTACAGAAGCTTATAGCTGCTTCCGGGCATGTTTACTGATCATTTTTTACTTGATGGGTTTTCTCTGCAGAGCTTGAAAACATATCTTGGAGAAGAAAAACTCAAAGTAAGATTGTTCTCCTGGTCTTTGCAAATATTCTTGATATATATATATATATCTATACTATTATATATGTGAGCACATGACTTGGTGTCTAATAGTGTGATAGCTTCTCCTTCTGCCATGCAGCAAATTTTTCTATCCTAAAATAAAAAAATATTATTCAAAGGCATGAGCAAGATTTGAACCCAAGACCTTGGGTTTCATTAAAAACACTCTTACCATTTACACAACATACATATTATGGCATTAATTTCTTTATTATTTGTTTTTATGCTTATTTATCTGAATTGCACATGCACTGCATGTACCACCCACTAGTGTATATATATGTGCATAATTGGTCCTTAAATAGGATATGTAAACATATGGTCTTTAAATAGGAAATTTAATATATACATATATACATATATTGGGCAGAAGAAATTACTAAGCTAAGTACATGATTCTTAAAATTATCAATCTACATGAAACCAATGAGCCATGAAATTAGGAAACTGAGGATTATCTAATGACATCATTTTATTACACTATTAAGGGTAGACTTAGAAACAATAAAATCTGCCCCCATCTCTAGCCTTCAGTAAGATTAGTGATATTTGTCTCCAACTTGTTTATTGTATAGTTGAAAAATAGCGGGAGAGCAAGATTATTTCTTCAGGTTAATTTAGGTATGGAATGTTTTTTAGATTGCAGCCTTGCAGCCATTGGATGGTAGTGATGGGGATCAAGGAGGAGAAGAGGCCTTCACACATATTTCAGGCAACGGAGGCGTCAACCGTAAACTAATTTTGAATTATTAGGAATTTTAGTTTCAATAGGATTTTCTTTATATTTCGTTATATTTTCTATGTTTTGTTTACTTATTGGACAGCGACTAGGTGTATATATGCAAGGCATGGTTTATTTAAATAATACTTTTTTTAGGGTACAATTGTTAATTAAAAGTTTTTAGGCTTAGTCTTTTCTTGTCATGCCCTAGAAATGTATGACTCACTATCCATTTCCACACCCCAATTATACACAGTACTCAAACAACAAGCAAAAGCTTAATTAAATGCCAACACATTATATTCATAATATCCATGTTGAGATTACAAGATCATTTCACATGCATTGATCCATTCAATGATTCTAAAACCTAAATCTATACCATGTGAGTAATAAAGATTTATATCTAAACTATGATAGTTTCATGCCTTAGTGGCTACAAGTTTCCAAGATTGTACTTGGTTACAACAAAAGTGGGTCTTAAGCCCAATACACCAAAGCCCTAGGCTCACACAAAATAAAATACAGAACGAGTGTTCAACTCCAACTTCCTTCCAAGCTATCCTCTTAGCGGAGGCATACCATCAGTATAAATGTTTTTGCACATAGGGTGAGTCAAAGCCCAGTAGAGACAAGTTTAATGACATGTATGGTGTTTAACAAAGCCATACGGTGAATGCATATGAAATGCCGTTACAAAACATGCGTTTTTCCCATTTTGAAACAATGCTATGCGAAAGTTCAAATTACAATTCATATCTTTGCTTCAAAACTAAAAACAACACAGTAAATATACACACTGGTAATCTCTAGGTACATGTCTGCTAGTAGGCTATAAAAGCACTACCAAAGCTACTTTACCGGCAACTAACCGGAAGAAAAGCATCCTAACCACGCAGATTTCTAGATTTTCACCAAGGACACAAAGGCCAACTTAATTAACCACAACCACAACCCCTAACTAGATTCACCACTATATTCACCATTTTTTTACAAAATAATACTTTTCAAATGCATAGGCATGAAACCGCTGAATAAATGAAATGCATGAGTGAATTGGTTTCAGTTAACCTAGCTCCCATGCAATTTCTACAACAAGTCAATACTATCCTCTATCGATGGCCAAAACAGTTATCTCTATTCAATATATTTCAAAAATGGATGATATATATAAATCAAGAGCATAACTAGCAATTTCATCAACATTTTCATTGTAACATTGTCTTGCCTCACATTTCTCAAACCTCATTAATCTCTATACAATTCAAAAATCATGAGTTTACAATAAATCCAACTACATAATCCACTTTACAAACTTGAGCCCAACTTGAGGGTTTTGGAAAAATATTGGGGTTTCTCCTTTTGAAGACCTCTTCCCTCAAATTTCCAACATTACTTATAAACATCAACAACCCAATAAGATTTTAAGAAAACTTCCAAGAAAAACCCTTCTTTATATATTAATTATACATTAATCAAACCCAAAATATACCCAAGTGTTAAGCTATCCAAATAACACATAACAAGGCTAAACCACATACAAATCATTAAAGAAAGCCCTACCTCAAAGCAAGAGGAAGAGAAGAACAACCCCCGAAAATCAACGGAGATGGAAACTCGAATTTTTCAAATTAAAACGAGCCCCTCTTCAAGCTGAACCTTTAATCCCAAAGCAAAAGGAGAGGGAAATGTAAATGAAATATCAATTTTTTTTCTTCATTTCTCTCGCTTGTTCCTTTCCATTTCCAAATCTCTGCCTAAATCTATGATCCAAAAACAGTCTAAAGATACATAAATGTGGCTTTTTCACCTGTTGGTTTCTTGGAGATCAAGGGCTGTCTTAGTGAATGAGGTGCTCCTTATCTGATGTCTGAATTCAAGTCTTACCACCATGTGATGCAGTTACCCCTACCCCATTCCCTGTCTGTGAAAAAAAAAAAAAGGAAAAGAGAAGAGAAGAAAAGAAAAGAAAATACGTATTGGTTTCTTTTTGACTAGCTTCAACGTGGAAGCTTATTTATTGGAAACATAGATCCATGTAGCTGACGGCCTATTAATAGTGATTAAGCTTGTCAATCATCATAAGATGATACTAAGTTCATGGTTTTGATGCCTAATTTTATGCTAAAAAATTATAAAAAGTGCTCGTAGCCCTGCCTTTTTGTATCTTCTAAAGATGGTTAATTTTCCAATTTGGCGAGACCCAAGTGGTTATGATCATATGGAACTTTCCATATTTATCTGATTTGTTTAGGCTGTCTTGGATCAATAGAGATTTTAGTTGTTTTGGTGAAATTCCCTTTTATTTAACATTTGCATTTGCTATTCCAATTTCAGGTCGTTACTCCGGATATGCTGAAGTTCATGCAGGAACTTCGAAAGGTACTTCATTGATTATTGTGATAACCCCTGAATGCAGCGTGGAGTGGTTTTCATAAAGCCTTTTTGGTTCATTCTTTCTCTTTCAACGGGCAAAATATTGCTTATGTTGGTTGTTTTCTACAATGATAATAGCTTTACAGCTTGGTCTAACTGCAGGTTGTTACAGTTGGTGTTGTTGGAGGGTCTGACCTTGTTAAGATAGCAGAGCAGCTTGGGAACTCAGGTTAGCTGCAATAGCTTGTAGAATTTGGAAAGTTTTTGGTGTCTTTAGTTGTGTTTATGTGCGACTAGATCATTGTAGTTTGTCCAAACCAAACTTCACATTTCAACTTCGTTCATGTGGTAATAAGATGCAGTTTTTCCTTCATTGTGAACTAATTAGTTTTCAAAGGTTTCATTTCTTCATCAGCAATTACATGTAATAGATAGAATATAAGTGTCAATATGTTTTAATTTATTTATTTTTTTATTAGGCTTTGGTAGATTTAGGAAGTAATAGAAAAGATTGTGCTGGTGATTGTTTCTTGGATCTTGCTTACTTTCTAAGTGATTTGGTTTTCTAGGATTTGCATTTTTTATCCATGACCTCTTGTCCAAAAATTTGGGGTATAATAAGGTGATGAGTGTGAATATTGTTTGCTAATTATTCTTTGATGTGCATGTTAGTTGTTTAAGAAAAATCTCAAAGTTGAAAAATTAGTTGATATTTATTACCCCATACTAGTAGGAAACATCACTTGGGAAACATTTTACTTCATAGAAACATTAATGGAGAATGCTAGTGTGTATTCTAATTCAGTTTGTGGATGTGTCTCAGATTAGGTAAAAAACTTTCACTCCTAAACTTTCAAGTGAAATTATGGAAAATTCAATTGCCTTGTTTGGTTTTGATTGGTTTTCTGAAAATTGTTTTTTTTTGGTTTTTAGCCAAAAATTTAAATATTTGAAGTTAAGTGCATCTGAAAAAAAAGAAATTTCTTAAAATATCAAAATTTTTGACTAAAAACAAAAAAAAAAAACATCGAAAACAAAAATCTCAATTTTCTAAAACCAAACAAGGTAATGTTTCTTGTGGACTGTATGTTCTTGCCTTGTGGGTGATCACATTGTTTATATGATTTGATGCAGTATAAACTTTACTACATTTTCTTTAAGCTTTCCGTTTTAGTCTTCTTTGTCTTCCTACATTCTGTTTTTCAAAAGTTCTTTAGAAGTAATATTGTGGTTCACTGCTTGACTTTTTACTCCATGTTCGCTATATGTGCAGTTATAAATGACTATGACTACGTATTTGCGGAAAATGGTCTTGTGGCCTATAAGGATGGGAAGCTCATTGGGACCCAGGCATTGTCTAAATCTCTACCGAAATTATTTATCTCAAGTCCAAGATTCAAATGATACTTTTATAAATAGGTTGACAATGATTCACACTGTTCTTATGAACAATTAAGGTCTTAAATATTTTAGACATAATTGTACAAAATGTAGGAAAATTGGGTTTATAATTTGGACTCTTCACTGGAAAATGCTATTGAATAATGCCTTGATACAACAGATTCTTTAGGTTCTCTTTTGAACCATTTTAGGTCTGAAAAAGATAGAGAAACAATAAATATTTGCTAACATTTCCAATATTGTTTAAATTAAATCTGCCAATTCATCTACTTGAACAACTTAAAGTTCCTGAGCAATGGACTGTAATTTTAATATGTTTTGTAGAAGGTTGTAGTTGCTTTCAACCATATTTATACACTTGGGGTCCACTTTGTTATCTTTTCCATTTTTTGTTCTTTTGCTTACTCTTTATTTATTTTAATTTCTTCCTGGATTCATAATTCTGCAGAGCTTGAAATCATATCTTGGAGAAGAAAAACTTAAGGTCAGACCCCCCTCTTGCTCTTTCCTAAATCCTTAGTAGGCACAGTAACTCACTAAGCAAACTGCATTGTTATTAATTAGTAATTTGCTAAAAGCCAAGTTCCCAAGGGGACACTCTAGCAGCTTAGGCAAGACCCAAGCTTGAATTTCTTTTAACTTACCTATCAAAAAAAAAGAAAAAAAAAATGTAATTTGCAAGAAGCCAAAGGGACCAGAAAATTAGAAAAGTTAGGATCATATATTTATTACACTATCAAGGGTAGAAACAATAAAATATGCCCCCGTCACCATCCTTCAGTAAGATTATAGATCAACATGCTTGTCAAAAACATCCATTTTTTTCCAAGTTGTCTATAGTATGGTCAAGAAATAGTAGGAGAGCAAATTTTTTTTTTTTTTTTTTTTTTGTCAAAGTCAGTTTAGGTATAAAAAGTTATGTTGGTTGTAGCCATTGGATGGTAGGCTTGGTCTATATATGTATAAAACATTTATAGTACATTATTAGTTTATGGATATGACATTTTTAAATGATTTGCAGGAATTTATTAATTTTACGTTGCATTACATTGCCGACTTGGATATTCCAATAAAGAGGTTTGTGAAGTGCAAGCACGAGTTGCAATTATCCATATATGTTAAGCTTCTGAATCTGTTTCTTATTCAACTTCTTCTTTAGAGGAACATTTATAGAGTTCCGAAGCGGGATGCTCAATGTATCACCAATTGGCCGAAACTGCAGCCAGGAAGAACGGGACGAGTTTGAAAAGTATGACAAGGTACAATATCCTAAACTGTGATTAAGATTAAGTTCAAAATTTGGGTCTCTATAAGAAACATAGTTGATGCTGGACCTCTTGAAAATTACTCTACTGAAATTATATTCAGGTTCTGAACATACGCCCTAAGATGGTGTCTGTGCTCCGCGAGAAATTTGCTCACCTTAACCTCACCTTTTCCATTGGGGGACAAATAAGTTTTGATGTGAGTGAATGTTATTCCTTGTTTATGCTTTGATGATTCTTAAGCTGATAAAATAAATGATAATAAGTCAATGCAGTTGAACTTATGTTTGGGCGTAATGCTTGCACATTTTTTAACAGGTTTTCCCTCAAGGTTGGGACAAGACTTATTGCTTGAGATATGTGGATGATTTTCATGAAATTCACTTCTTTGGAGACAAAACTTACAAGGTAACAATTTTATCTTCTCTCTTCAGTTTGGTTATTCCCTTCCTTTTTTGGTATTTGCCATGTGACACTAACTTGTTATTGAAGGTTTGATTCCCTGTAGTGATGTTGTCTTGTGTTATGTTGTATTAGTTCATTTTTTATTTTGCCGACTAGTTTTTGGTACACTGTTGGGACTAAACAAAGGGCTTGGATGTTGTTTGAATAGGGAGGAAATGACCATGAGATATATGAATCGGAGCGAACTATGGGGCACACAGGTCTGCTCTTTATTTCAGCTTATTTTTGCAGTTCAATACACAGTTCTCTATTGCCATAGCATCTAGAGAACCAAATGCATTGTTAATATGGTGCCATTTGCAAAGAAATCTAAAATCTTCAATCAAGTCAATTCATTTTGTTTTCAACAGCATCCACGTGCATCTATTTCATCTGTTAAAGTTGGATAATTACCAAAGAAAATGGATTCATCAACAAAAGATATAAAATTGATGATATTTTCTTATAACATTCCAAATGATTCTGTACATAAAACTGGCTGTACTTGTTTTAAATGCTATGGAAAACAAAATGGATTAAATATTGCAAGTTGAGATGGAACAGTTTCATTTTCATTGAGTACCCAATTGCTTTTTAAATGGATATCAATGTCAATGTTCCTCTTTTGCCATTTTAATTTTATAATCATGGTAATGTGAACTTTTTTCTTGTTCTATTCCCAGTTACTAGCCCTGAGGATACTGTAAAGCAGTGTACAGCTCTCTTCCTAAGCAAGCAGGTTTAATGGTCCCTGTGGTTATTTCGACTTTGTTGCCTTCAATTATTTGCCATTTTGTAATTTGTAGTCATAAGAATGATGGGTAGCAGAAATATCTGTTTGAATCTGTAATTCCCTTCACAGGCTTCATTTCTGTATTCAAGTGACGGCTATTTTCATGTTGCTAGTGTTCATTAGAAGTTCAATCTGTTATTTGAATGGGATCACAGAGATTGATAGACATTGGCAATATTTTTGTATGAAATAAGAATCCAATTATTTGTATTCAGCTTATTAAAGCCCAAATGTCATTTGAGATTTCTTTCATACGTACTACTGTCTCTCTACCTTTTCTTTTCTGTTTTCGTGTTTTGTCTTCGATATCTATCTTAGTAAAGCAATTTATTTTGGCAGAGGAATAAAATTTTGGGAATTATGCAGGTTTTCTTCTAATGGATTAAGGATGATCATTACTGAAATTGATGCACCGTAAAACAATAAATCTTCTAACAAATAAATTGTTTTGCGTATTTAAATTTCCAAAGGAAAATACCACAAACTCTAATCCTCGAGTAGCACGCTATCTGGGAAGCAAGATTGATTTGATTACCATTTGACCAGGTCCGAATGTTTTTCCAGTTTGTGCTTCAGCGGAAGTCTTTTTTGATTGCATGGAAATTAGATTCACTTTGCAATAATCTAGCATTTCCTTCTTGTTTCCTCTTCCTTCCTATAATCAGGTTGATGTTTACTAGTTCAGCAACCCAATATTTTTTCTCAGTATAAGTTGGGCATGTTACTGCATCAATGGCAAGACCTGGTACGCCTACTATCTTATTGTGGTTTTGTTGCATTATCTTTTGTTGTCATTTTGGACCCTTAACACCACTTTTTCCTGCAACAAAATATTGTCACATGTTTGGTTGTGTTAACCTTTTCTGTTGTCTATTTTACCTTCTAGAAAATATAGAAACTTATTTGGGAAACTGTTTTTGGAAAAATTTTCTAAAAGCAACCCACGTTCTAGGAAATGCCAAAAAAATTGTTTTTGAATGTTTAGAACTTATTTTTTTTACCAAAACGAAAATGAAACAAAAGTAATGGGTATTTAAACTTTTTGTTGTTTTTGCTCCTGAAAAGACAAAAAACCAAAATGAAGAAAATAAAAGCACTACCAAACAGGTAAACACTGCAATTCATGCCTTGCTGTCTTTTTCCTAGTAGACTAATAAATTTTGCGTTCTGTTCTTGATCTTGAGGATATAGCATTAAAGCATGATTCCGCGTACTGGTTTCTTAGTGTTAATGTAAATTGTATTAACCTACCACTACCACCTACCACACACACTCACCTCCTCACCTACTCCTCACCTAACCTACCACTACCACCTCCACTTCACTCCACCTACCACCTACACCTACTACCACATTTTCTTCTATATATAGGAATTGTAAATACATCAATCAAACACATCAATCAATATATATACAATTTATTCTCTCTATCAATTTATCTTACACTTAGTAATAATAGAAGTGCACCATGGAAAATGTAAAGTTTGTCCCTTCCGATAGATCCTAAGTTTTCTTCTATCTATTAGATTTCCAATTCTTCTATGCAAAATATTTTCTTATGTTTTTTTTTTTCAGGTAACTATTAAGGGTAAATTATTATTATTATTTTTTAATTGAGTGTGTAGGACCAGAATAGGAAAATGATAAACTGCATTAAATAGCAAATAAGATTTGAGTCCAGATATCACTCACACTTGGTAAGGGAGCACCTTTTCCGCTAAGCCAGCCCTTGGTCTAGGCTCTCTAGGATAAATTATACTTAGCATCCATGTATTATACAACGAATTTCACTTTAATTTCTCATTTTTCTAATTGCAATAGTAAATCCATTACACTTTTAGTCAAAGTACAATATAGACATTCCATCATTTGTTGTTTGGAGAATTGGTGGTGAGCTACAATGGGTTCGTATACCACCTGTTTGTTCTTGGTCAAGTCACAGTTATTCATTGTGTTACGGGTTTATTTATTTATTTATTTTATCATAAATTTTTTATTCGTTGCCTGGGTCGTCAATCTTCTCAAGCTTCTTCAGGTGGCTTAGTTGGGTTGATGCCCGACATGCACTTAGCTTTCAGCATAGACGGCGCATCATTTGTACAAGCTTGTGATGCCACTAACCTCGCTACATTCAGCTTTGGTGACATGGGGTGGTAATGGATGGGCGAAGGGGTAGGGGTGACTTTGGGTGGTGGGGGAGGGGTGGGGAAAAAAAGGTAGTAAAATTGCATAGGTACCCTAAAAAATGCCTCAACACCCAATTAACGGAAGAATGATATTGGAACTTGACAATGACTGCAATGGGTTAACTGTTGCAATCGAAAAATAAGAGATCAAAATGATATCGAGTGCAGGATGTCAAGTGTAATTTACCCAACTCTAACTATTTCATACATCTCACAAATGTCTTAAAAAATATTTGTCACTAGATGAAAATAGCAATTGTCATCGAATCTTACATATTTGTTATGCAGACTATATACACTAGGATTTTTAATTTTCCACAAGAGGTGTTGGCCTCTCCGGAACAGTAGGAACCTCAACATCTCCTTCCAACATCTTAATCGCGTCCAAAATGGTAGGCCTCACAGAAACCATGGCATGAGCGCACAAAACCCCAACTGCTAAAAACCTCTCCGCCACCGCCTTCACATTTGCACTTGCTTCATCTCCTCCACCGATCTTTCTCAACAAACTACTATCCAAAGCCTCTTCCATCTTCCCCGCCTTCACCAGTGACCAACACCAATCCGTCAGCACCAATGTCCGAACGAGCGACCCCTTTGACAAGTTCAAATCAAAATCACCACCACCAAGAGCTTTCCTCCCACACATCATCTCCAAAACGACCAGCCCGAAACTATACACATCACTCTTCTCACTAAAGTGCCCATACAGTGCATACTCTGGAGCCAAATACCCATGTGTTCCAGCAACCTTACTAGTAGTGAGATGAGACTTCCCTTCTCTGCTTTCTTTTGCCAATCCAAAATCGGCCACTCTCGCCCTCATCTCTCCATCTAACAGTATATTTGTTGCCTTGATGTCTCTGTGATACATTGCAGGTTTCACTCCATAATGAAGGTAAGCTAACCCATTTGCCACATCCAAGATTATACTCTTCCTTTGAGGCCAGTTTAGTGGTTGCTTATTTGATCTGAAGGAAACAAATGGTCATTAAGATTCCCGTTTGGCATGTAATCGTACACCAGGTATTGAATCTGGCCAATCTCTTCATACGGCACATTGTTTTCATCTTCATAATTTGACACGCTACAGCAGCAACCTCTGAGCGGCACGAGATTTCGATGCTTCAGATTGCTGAGAATGTCAACTTCATTGTAGAACTCATCGATTCCTTGAAAATCGGATTCTATGAGTTGTTTAACCGCAATCATGCTACCATCAGCTAAGGTCCCTTTGTAGACAACCCTGAAACTTCCTCTCCCGATGAGATTGGTCGATGAGAAATTCTTGGTTGCCTTCTTGAGTTCATGAATTGTGAACCATTTCGAACCCATGTTAGGCCTGATCATTGTTCTTGCCCGCCTAGACCCCAACTCCCGTTGGTCATCTCTCTTTTTCCTCCACTTCTTATACCATAGAAAGTACAAACCCAACAAAGATATGATCTGCAAGACCACAACACCTGCTCCGGATAGTCCAAGTACCAGAGCCAAATGTTTGTTTCTTGAAGAACCCATTTGAGAACCAAGTGGAAGATTCAAGATACATGTTATGGAACCAGTACTATTTGGTCCAAACTCGTTGATGATTCCGGCAGCATATAGAATTGTGAAGTAAAGGCAGTTAATGGAGTGAGACTTGTTTCCATCGATTATGATCAACTCGGCTTGGACCTGGAAGCCGGCAGCTACACAGGAGTCACAGGAGGTGAGATCGGTGAGGTCTGGCTGGCAAGCAAGTCAAGCGGCGTTGACAGGCCGAGCTTGGATGCCCGTCTTGGGTTGACTCTATTGAGGCACAGGTGTTGCGGGACATGACAAACTGGAGAGGGTCAAAGCAGAGGGAGGTGAGATCGGAGGGTAGAGAGAGAGATCAAGCTTGGATTGGAAGTAAGAGAGGCAAGAAATGGAGGTGGGTAAGTGGAAGAAAGAGGTGGTTTTGAGGTGTTGGGCCAGTGCTATGCCATAGAGGCTGAGGAGGGTCTGGCAGCACTTGGGTTCACCTAGGGTTGAGTTGTTAGAATTATTGGAAAGTTGCAGGGTTGAAATGTTGAAGTTTTGGCAGTCAGTGGAGTGCCATGGGAGTGTTTGGACATAGCTTAGATCCAGAGGACATGTTGTGGATGTGTCATTGGTGCTTGAAGTTGGAGATGAGGAGCTAGGAGATATATAGAGAGAGGCAAATATCGGTAGAAGTAGAAAGGGAGGCTTCATCTCTCTCACTATCTCTCTGAAATGTTTTTCTAGCTTTTTTGGTTAGTGGGTGTCTGTTGTTTGTAATGGTTTGAAGTCAAGAGAGAGAATAGTGTCTGAGTTAGAGAAAGATAAAGAGACAATCAAGAAGCAAGACTCTCCTTTGTTTCTCTATATTAATTCTGAATTGATCTAGCCTTAGGTTTTATATGGTTCAGAGAGAGAAAGCAGCAGTCCTTTTTTTTTGAACGCAAGCAGCACCCTCTTTGAGGCGACTTTTTTTAAACATTGAACACAGTAAAAAAGAGGAGAAGTCAATCGGTCTGTTAAGATGCCTCGGCTGCACTTTCACTTGACAACTACTGATAAACGTCTTGGAGTGATTAGTGCTAGGAAAATAGAAATCAGTCACAGAACTTGACATAGGTAGACTGCAGTACTGTTCAGTGGTCTGTGTTTAGTTCTGTATGTGTAGCTCAACTGAATTAACTCAAAATTCTTGGTCTTTTTTCAAAAATGCTGGCAACTCAACATTGGGAAGACTTTTGGCGGCATTTTTTATTCATTTTTTTCGGAATTTAATAAAAGTTGGAAAAACTCTTTTAGTAGTGATTAGAATAGTTATAAATGGGTTTAACAGTTGACTTAGAAAGTCATGGTCAAGCCTGTTACCATCAGGTTGCCCATAGGACCTTATCAAGGTTGCTGTCTATGCTCACCTTTAGCCCAGCTCCATTGATGGTGGAGTTTTATTTAATTTTGATTTTTTTTTTAATGGTGGCTGCTGCTTGGATAACTACAACCTAAGTTACTTATTCCTTGATCAGGTGGTGTTTGGAAATCTTCTAAAAAAAAAATTCAAAAAATCACTATAAAAAGTCAATTCATTCTCTCGAATTTTTTTGCATGTCTTTTCATAAAAAATCAAAAAATTACTTAAAAAAAAAAAATTCCAAACACCCACTACTCAGTCTCAATTTCTTTTGTCATATGGTCATTGTTAAAAGACTATTCCTAATATAGCACAGTTTGATTTTATTCCTTATAGTATTGTCAGTACTATGTCCTGGATTATAATTTTTTTTGGCAAAATTTTATCAATTTTGTAATTTAACCAATTTTTCGAACCTCTTGTTAATCTACCATTTTATCCCACTTTCTCTTGGGATTAGTTTGGAGTCCACTTTTCTTATCGAAATGTGAGATTTTGTATTTTCTTGCATTATTAGTCCAATCTCAAAATCATGTCCTCCAAAGGAAGATGATTATATAGTTGACTTTGAATGGACTTTTATTGAGAATACATCATATTTAAAATAATTTTTTTAAAAAAACTAATGCAAATAAGTAGGGAAAATTATTAGATATTTTCGGAGTATCACGTGTCCATACTCTTTCACGAATCATCATTCACCATAACCTCTTATGTTGTTTAATTACTCAACACAAATTCATAATATCTTACCTTCTTCACTAATCAGAATACCATAGAGCAATACAAGACTGTACTTCGAAAATACTCAATAATCACTCAGTAAAACATTGTAATTAATTATACTAGGCGGTTTTTATTCTATTTTCACTTGCATCAATGTAATTTTCACTGATTTGTTAGTTTATTATTTTCTCATTTATCTCATAGTCTTTATGCATATATTTTTATTGTTTCTAGATGGGCTCATTTATTTTTATGATAAATCATACAAGGCTGGTTTGGAAAGTTAGTTATTTTAATAGATTTTTTAGGTCTTTTTTTTGTTGCTATTTTAGCCTAGTTAAAAAGGTTGTGTTTGGGAAGTTGATTAGCTTTTTTTTTTTTTGTAATTGATTTAATGGTTGTGAGAGAAAAAGTAAAATAATTATGATTTAGATGTGATATTTTATTTTATTAATTATTTTAACTTATTTTGTTTTTATTGACTATTTTACTCCAAAATTATCTTCCCAAACAGGGTCATAATCAAGTTATGCTAGGGTAGGAACCTTTTTTTAAAAGATAAATTACAAATACTCTTAGAGATTTGCTTAAAGTACAGATTGTCTCCTGTAATTTAGAAAATTACAAATATTTCCTTATTAGAATTTTTTATTTGACAAAATTAACTAAAAAATTGAAATTTATAATTACTCTCCTATACAATAGTAAAATTATTTAAATTATTAATTGCAATATATTTCTAATATCATTAAAAACTATTAATTGATTTGATGATATATTAATAAAATGAGCGATTTATTATGAAATTAAAAATCTCAGGAGATAGAATGTAATTTCTAAAACCACAGGGGGCGATTTGTATTTTAATTGAATCTAAGAAGATGTATTTGTAATTTATCATTTTTTAAATAAATAATGCTACACTAATTTAATTCTTTTTTTCTTTTTTCTTTTTTTGGTTTCGAATCCAAATTTCATTCTTCATAAAGTCAGTCGCTTCTTCGAAGTTCAAAATAATTTATTGAAAAGTATACTATCACCCAAAACGTGCTGTGACCGTTTTTATTGTTCTTCCATATTTGGGTTCACGTTGACCTCCAACCACTTATTTTATGCAATTTACAGAGTTTATAGTTTATTTTATTTAGAAATTTATGTTAAAGTGTTTGATATAATTTTTACTTACAACTTATGAAATGGAGATAAATTAAATAAATGGAAAGAAAAAATAATAATTATTGAAAAATAGTGAAGAGGCGATTTTAGCTTATACTTTGTAATTATTAATTTTTAATTTATTAGAAGTTATATCAAATAAGTCTTATGCTGAAGTATTTAAGAGAAGTTACTGAGTGCCTATGGCCAGGGGATTGGGACCACGGCCATGGTCTGTCTGCAATGGTCTTAATTATAGTAATCTAATGATTTAAATTTAAAGTAAAATAAAAATGGTGTAATTTTAAGTGTCTCTTACATATCACGTAGCTTTAATCCTTAATCCATTAAAACATTGATAAGTGTTTCTTACATTTCAAATAATCCTTCTTACGTAGTATGGACGAAATCAAAATTTTATCATTAGAAAAGTCAAAATTTGAATAAATTTTTTTATCATATATATATATATATATTTGTATTATTGTTTACCTTGATTGGGTTACTAACTTAGTCTGTCAATGTGAATTAAGCAAGCCAATCTCAAAATCCAAAACCATTGTGCATCCAAAAGGTTCCACAAATGCTTCGAAAGACTAAGAATTATCAAAATAACTATGCACCAAGGGTGGTTTCTGTTGGTCCATATCACCGTGATCATAACAACCTCAAGCTTCAACGAATGCAAGAGCTCAAGCGTAGAATCACAAGTACTCTAGTCTCAGATGACCAATAGTTGCTTGAAGACTTACACGAGCGGCTTTTCCAGAAGGTCAAGCAATTGAGAGATTGCTATGAAGAGAAATCAACAGATGAATACAATGACGATGAATTCATAAGGATGATGCTCGTGGATGGTTGCTTTATTTTGTATCTCATTAACTATGCCACAGAGCGAAAAGAACATAAGGTTGAAATAAAAAACCACAATGTAGCCTTTATACAATAGGACTTGTTCTTGTTGGAGAATCAACTTCCCTTCCTTGTCCTCAAGGAACTTATTAATGACGAAAGAATATATGCAAAAGGTTACACGATGAAAATGATTGATATGTTCATCACCGATAGCATTATGGCACCAAATGTAGGCAAGAATGTTGAAGAGCTATGTCCCTTGCATTTTCTAGATGTTCTGTACAAATGACTTGTAGGTTGCAAACATGTTGAACTTTGTGTATCAAATTGATGCACTTTTCTCAATGTTGAGGATCAATGCCTCTATACTTTTCCACACCAATAAATCGATTTACCCGAAAAATTCAATACCTCTATACTTTTACAAATAGATCACTCTGCTGCTATCTCATTACCTACCCTCCATCACGATTCCACCGTTGTGTTATCACCTCCTATTCTTCATTGTTATTCTTCTTTTATCACCCCCTATTCTTCATCATTTTTTTTATTCTTCTTCTTTTTTTCTTTTTTCTTTTTTGGTGTAAAGTAAAGGGTATCAAGGATTAAATATGAACTTTATAAATAAAATTATTGACATTACCAAATTAATTAGTTGATTTAATAGTTAGGTTTTTGTTATTGGCAATCTCGTTTGACAAAACTCCTTTTAGTGTAATTTTATGCGATCTTTTATTTAAGTGAGGCTATGAGTATTTAGATGCGAATCAACACGAATTGTGCCTATGCAGAGGAGTTTGTGATCTTAATCCTATCAGTTTGTCCCCGAAGCAAAAAGCACAAAAGCAATCGAAGTTGATTGTTCGCTCGAGCGAAGAATCTTTGGTCCCAGAAGTTTTCACTAATTGTAAAAATACTGAGAAGATGCATTTCTCGCTCGAGCGACACTTTGGTGGCTCGAGCGAAGACACTTGGAAAAACACGTGTTTTAGTCTCCTCGCTCGAGCAACTTTCGCGGCCCGATTTTCTATAAATATGTGTTTCAGTCAGATTTTAGGGTTAGGGTTACGGTTTCCAAATCTTCTTCTTGGATATTAGGGTATATATCTGGAGCTTCTTTACTAGTTTTTTTGATGTTTGTTTGAGTTTAAATCTGGTTTGAGAAGTATACATTAAATGATTGTTTGTTTCGTTCAATACAAAAGAGAGTATTGTTCTTCGGGGAATTCCATGAAATTCGGGCCTGAAACTTTAGTGGATTCCAGAGTGGCTCATCATCATGATTCGACATCGGTGTTATGGATTCAACGTTGGGCAAGACGATTCCGAAACGTGAAATATGAGTTGGGTTTGAAGTGATGTGGTAGAGAGATGATGTGACTTCAATATGATAATTGTGACCTAAATAGGATAATGTGCTAAAATAGCATGTGCTATTTTAGCACATGCCAAACAACCACTAAGCTTTTAATCAAATTTTCATTCAAATTCGATGAAAAAAAGATCAAAGACTGGAGGTCCTCTTAGTTGTAAGTAGAAGCTATACCAAACTCTCACATAGATTCCCAAAATAAAATAAAATAATTGATAAGTAGTCCCCATAAGCTGCACCAAACAAGCAGTGGATTGCTTCCATATTCTCTTAATTCCTTGTTAAATATATAATACAATATAATTGAAGAAGAATTGGCACTTACTTTGCTCGTTCAATGGCTTCAGTCTTCTTATTTTCAGCAGCTGCTCTCTCTGCTCTAATGTTCTTTATCATCTCTAGTTTGGAGCTTGCCAAAGGATCCTTAAATAAGGGCATATTACTTCTTAACCTAGTACGACGCTTTTGGCTTTCAGTCACATTCCCTGTGGAATTATCAGTGTCATTAGCTTTCTTCTTTGTGGGATTCTGTGTTCTGGGTTGTCCCTCACTACTTGGCCTTCTCTTTGGCTTCCTTTCTACTCCAACTGGTGTGCCATGATATTTATAAAGGGCAGTGCAAACCCTGTCACGGTATGCCTAGTGGGAAAAGATAAAACTTGCTTAACAAACCATGTTTTGGCAAATTTAATGTGATATATAAAAAAAAGTCAAAAGGGTTTATTAACTTATAATGACTATCTCAATTACAGTGGGACAAATATTAATATCTTTCTTCTGATACTTTGCAATGAAATATACAGATTATCACCACAAATCCCAAGTGAGCCTTGGGCCCAAAAGGGAAAACTTATATTCAGTCCAACTTACCAATCGTTTGATACTTCTCTCTCCACAAATAATCAGTAGATGTTGGGAACTTACACACAGGATAAAAGAGAGGGCAAAAAAAAAAAAAAAAAAGAAGTTGGAGAAATTCTATGTAAAAAGTAGCATAGAAGTTCAATTCTTAAATCAGAAAATGGAGGCTATAAGGATTTATTCATTGGACATTCAATGGTGTATCACAAGACAAAAAACAAAGTAGGTTGAAACATCTACAAATCGGTATCTTGGAATGTTAAGCTCCAATAATATGTTATAGATTTTTATCATCAACTTCATGAATTAATTTCAAGATATAAGGCTTTTCTTATTATAACACGCTCAAAAGGATCCCTCGTTCGTCCATCAAATATTCTACTTTTTTCTGTGTACTTGGATTCAATTCAAATACCCATCAATTAGCTGTTTGCACACCGTTTTCGTGCTAATGTAGTCTAAGGGGCATATGCATAGCTAGTACTAGTAATAAGTTAGTCATCCATTTAGGAATGGCAGCAAAACCCAGAGCTTGATAGGATTAGGCTACCACCCCTTTTTCAGAACATTTATGCTTCGCTTGTTTCAGCAGAAAATATTCTCCACGGAAACCTTTTTTTCCAGAAAATGTTTTCCATAGAGAACATTTTTCTATGTTTCAATACATTCTTCAAACTTATGTAATTAGTGGTGGTGGTGGCCGTGGCGTGGTGGTTTTAGTGGTGATGGTGGTGGAAAATATTTTCTACCCAAATAATTTTATTTTTCGTTACAATGGAAAACATTTTCCGTTTTCTGTTGTACCAAACACCAAAAATCAGCAGAAAATGTTTTCCGCATTTGGAGGGTTAGACAAAGTGAATTAAATGATCACTTGATGAAAAGCAAACAAGATGGACTAGGGCAAATAAACAGCATACATTCTCAGCAGAAAATGCAACATATGCCCTTGCAGGATCAGCCCATTTGGCAGAAATAGCCTCTGAAATTTTCCTCCTTTGCTCAAGAGAATTGGGTGCTCTCTTGCTACCTTTCGGTCTTGCCATTTTTCTACTTTGTTCAACACTCTCCAACCATTCCTGCTCGAGCTGTTCATCCAAGATCTTATAGGAGTCCCACTGCTTCTCTTCCTCACCAACAAATCCCTTTCTAGAAGCTTCTGCTATCAAATTCTGTGTAACAACCCTCATACTGATTACTGATTAATGACTGATTGATTACCGATTACTGCTAAACGGGACTGATAACTGACTGATAATTGAACAGATTAAAGTACTGAACTGACTGACCGAACTTTAAACTGAATTAAATGAATACATCTGTTTGAATTGCATTCTATCTGTTTGACTGTATGATTATCTGTTCATGCTTATATGTTTAAACTGCTAATTCCCACTGCTTCTCTTCCTCACCAACAAATCCCTTTCTAGAAGCTTCTGCTATCAAATTCTGCCACTCAAAGTAGCAAGTTTCCTGCAGCTTCAGTTTTTCACGGCGCCTTTCCCACCCCATTCGCATTCCATTGCCAATTTTCATCCTTGTTTCTTCGCTGCACAATCAATAAAGAACATGGTAAATAAAGTGATTAAAGCAGTATGTGGAAAATTACAAACTGAAGGTCAAAAACTCAAAACTCCTGCTAGACTTAAAGAAGGCCCTAGTACAAATCCAGGGTAATGCCAAGCATCTAATTCACTGAATCTTCTCAATTTCCAAAATCTCATATTTGAAGAAGAAAACAGACTAATATTAACAGTAAACAAGGCACAAATTAGTACAAAATGAAGGAGGAAAAAATTAAAATAGTTTAGTCTTTTTCTGGCTTCAGCCTCCAAGAACCAACAAAAGAGAAAAACAAATATCAATTAATTGAACCCAAATGACTGAACCCATCTAAGATTCAATCTAAAAGACCAGAACATCAATTAACAAGACAAGCAGAATATCCAGGATTTTTTTTGTTAGTGAATATCCAGAAAGTTTATGAATAACCAGGTACTTGTAAATTCGATGATAGAAAGAAAAATAGCAGAACCAAAAATCGAAATAACAAGACGGAATGTCATGAGATTCTACCTCTGAGCATGTCCCAGGTTAACTAACTTCATCTTAACCTGCATAGGCTGTGTCCGTGAGATCTGCTACAAAGAATTTACATTAACAGGTTCAGTGCTGGCAGGGAAGGTACAAGAGAAAAGCAAATAGTTTTAAGAATTCATGAGAAATGTTTAACAGAAATTGAAACCCTATGACACCCAAGGGGTTCAATTTCTGTTAAACATTTCTCATGAATTATTGAACCCAACAACTTCAGATCAACTGAGGCTATTTGTGTTTCTCAATTATTTCGTCCATGAATTACTTCGAAACCGGACCAAGACATTTAGGCACTTGCTCTTGTTAGTTCTTCACTGTGAGAGGTATGCATTTCATTTGCATTGCTTGTGTCAAAAAAAGAAGAAAAAAAAATTCAATCAATTAATCCAATCACCGTTAAAATATAGGTCGAGAGATGACCTTATTTTTTGCTTGGAGATACACTTTATTTGCCTCCTTGGCATTTCTCTTCTCTTCTAGCTTCTGAAAGAACTGAAACAGCAAATGATAAAAAGACAGTAAAAAACATCAGCATAACAATAAATGAGTAAAACTGCAAATATATATGGAGTGAATGGATCTGGACTTGCCTCTTTACGTTTTGCCGCTCTTTCTTCACACCTCAAGCTAAAAGAGGCGGGTACTGTGGGAGGTCGTGCTTTGGGTCCAAATACACCTAAAGTCTTCAAATGGCTGCATAGTGTTAAATAAAATTTAGAATTCTTGCATAACATTGTTAGAGTAATTGTGTTGCACGAAATTTTGTCTAGGTTTTCTCACATGTGCTGAGGAAAAGTGATACTTGAATGGCAAAATTGGTTCCTATAAACTGTAATGGTATCACTGGCATGGATGGTATTGAAATATGTATTTAATATGAAATAAATTAGGTATGAATAGTAACAAACAGAAGGCAACATTACAGAAAGTGTAAGAGATGCTACTTCATTTTGGAAAGATAGTTTGTGGGTTCGACCATGAGAGTAGCCACTTTGTGTAAATAATGCCAAAGGTTAGGTTTGTATCTAATCTACCCCTAATAGACCCCAATCCTATAGGCGCTAAACTGGGAGTACTTTATTATTATTATTATTACATTTTTTAGTTTGCATCCACGCCTTATCTATCCCTTGTGCCAGAAACACAATACTAGCAAGACTTTTGGAACTTTCATGGAGCTATTGTTCCTAGTATGCAATACAAAATCTCTACACTCAGTAGATAGCGATATGAGCATCTAATGAGAACTCTACAATCCACAACATAGGCAAAATAAGATCTTACTCTATCCTATGTGATTTCCCATCTGCTATCCTCCTTCCAGAAACTAAGATCTTGGCATTTGTCTTCTCTTCTAGCTTTTCAAAGAACTGAAACAGCAAATGATAAAAAGATAGCAAAAAACATCAGCATAACAATAAATGAGTAAAACTGCAGATATACATGGAGTGAATGGATCTGGACTTGCCTCTTTACGTTTTGCCGCTCTATCTTCACACCTCAAGCTAAAAGGGGAGGGTACTGTGGGACGTCGTGCTTTGGGTCCAGATACACCTGAGGTCTTCAAATGGCTGCATAGTGTTAAATAAAATTTAGAATTATTGCATAACATCGTTAGAGTAATTGTGTTGCACGAAATTTTGTTTAGGTTTTCTCACATGTGATGAGGAAGAGTGATACTTGAATTGCAAAATTGGTTCCTATAAACTGTAATGGTATAACTGGCAAGGATGGTATTGACATATGCATTTAATATGAAATAAATTAGGCATGAGTAGTAACAAACAGAAGGCAGCATAACAGAAAGTGCAAGGGAAGCTACTTCATTTTGGATAGATAGTTTGTGGGTTCAACCATGAGAGTACCCACTTTGTGCAAATAATGCCAAAGTTAGGCTTGTATCCAATCTATGCCTCCTAGACCCCAATCCTATGGGCGCTAAATTGGGAGTACTTTTTTATTATTACTATTATTATTACTTTTTTTAGGTTGCATCCACGTCTTATCAATACCTTGTGCCAGAAACACAATACTAGCAGGACTTTTGGAACTTTCTTGGAGCTATTGTTCCTAGTATGCAATACAAAATCTCTACACTCAGTAGATAGCGATATGAGCATCTAATGAGAACTCTACAATCCACAACATAGGCAAAATAAGATCTTACTCTATCCCATGTGATTTCCCATCTGCTATCCTCCTAGAAACTGAGCAATCATCCACTGGTTTACTTCTGTAAACCATGAAATTAAACATTTTAGTGAAAGAAGACGAATATACATACACGTAGAAAAATGGCACAATTTTAAAGGGTTAAGCAAACAAACAACCTTCTTCTTTCTTCTTGAGGAGCTGTTGAAGAATGCACTGATAACCCATTTGCTGATGCCTGCAGTTTACCAAAAACCAAAAACGTTATCTCAGCTATGTGTTACAGTGTGCACTAGCACGCTATTGCACATGCACAAAGCAGCAAACAAGGTGAATGAGGTGAAGGCAAGGAAGTAAAGTAAGCACCCTAGTTGGAATTCGTGGAGGATTTGAGCTGTCTCTGGATGTCTCTTCCATAACATTTGGTTCATTACACGCTGCATTTTGCTCCTCAAGCAATGCTGCAGGTTTCTTAGCACCATTTCTGTTGTAAAGGGCTTCGAAATAAGCTTTCCTCTGGGCAACTAAACCTGGCTTAGAAGATTTCTTAGCTTCTTCCAAGTACTGATTGTTAGAGAAACACGACCATTTTTCACACGCCAATGATTCCAACATGAACCTCCGAAATGAGATTGATGTTGTCAGGGCACAATAAGGATCTCCCTGTAATGAGATTCTTTCAAGTGTTTCTTAGTAAAATCATCAAAGCTTACACATGTATCCACTAATATATTTTAAATAGAATTGCAAAGACATACATACCCAACTCCAAATATAATCTACTTCAAGAACACATGTGATAGAAACATTTTAACAAGGTACCCTATTATTTTGTGATTCTAATAAAACATGGGCAAATTATACCAGTTGTGTCTATAATTTGACTCTTTAGTCAATTTAGTCATTGTAGTTCCCATTGTATTAATTTTGCCTCTTAACCTTTCACATTGTGTAAATTTAGTTCAATTGATAAACATCTGCTAAGAAATTAGACAAAAATCAAAGAGAAAATGGTACATTTAAAAAGGGAATTAATCATTTTAATCCATCAATCACTTTGAAATAGACTATTTTGCCCTTTGATTTCAGTTCAATTTCTAAATGGGCATTATCAATTACACTAAACTGACACAAAATGTGAAGAATTCAAGGGTAGAATTGATCAAATTAGAACTATCTATAAGAACGAAATTGACACAAGAAACAAACTACAAGACTACGGGTGTAATTTGCTGTAACAACATTGACTAAGCATTACATGAAATTCCCATGCAATTGGTTGATGATTGCAGTTATTAGTAAAGAAAGGAGCACAAGAATCAGAAGAAGAAGAAGAAACTATAACTAGCAAAAGGGACAAATCAAGAACTCAAATGAAAAACCAAATACTGAGAACAGTAACAAATCAAGTATTGTCAAAATAATATTAAAACAACGACAAAGAAATAGCAATCCCATGTCAGAAAAATCAAAACCCACTAGGGTTTTCTGTGAAAATGAAGAAGATTGTGTTTTTTGGACAAACCTCTTCGGGTTCAGTGGAAGTAGTGCCAGCAGGTTGAGAGAAGGATCGAACAAGACAAGTTGGCGATTCACCCATTTCTGTCTTTGCAGTGAAGAGAGAGAAACTCAAAGAAACCCAAAGAAACCTACCCTATGATTCCCTGAATCCTCTTTCTTTCTCTCTGTATCTTCTTCGTATAGGGTCTTCTTTTTTTTGATTCTCTTATGGGGTCTTCTTTGCTCTTCTAAATCTTGGAATCTCCGAGAATGCAGTTCATTCACTTTGTTAATATATTCCATATTTAGATTATAGGCTCCTAACAGGTATGTTCAAACCCTGCCTTCTTCTCTCCCTCGCTTATTCTTTCCTTTTCTTGTTCTTTTCCTTGTTCAAACCTTGCCTTATTCTCTCCTTACCTTGTTCTTTCCTCTTCTTATTCTTTTCCTTGCACAGCAGTCCTCATGGCCTAGTGTCACTAGTTTGCCTTCACATTCACGATGGTTTTATTTTAAAAGATAGGTCAATTGATTAATAGTTTAAAAATTGGGGGAGGAGTTGAAAATATTTTTTTACATTGCATACTTATGGATTTTTTTGTTTATTGATTACCCTTAAATTAATTTGATTTTGATATATTTTCTTTAAATTAGGATTTGTGAGAATTTATTTGATCTGTTTCAACTTAATTTTAAAATTCTTAAAATTTTGTTTGGAGATTTAAATTTAGAATGCAAAGAAACCAAATAATTCTTCTTGGATGGGATTTTTAATTTCTATTACAATCTCAAATTGGTTAACATAGGCTTTGCCAATGTCCATATAGGAAAATTATATAATAGCCCTAAAGTATCACGTAACTATATTCCTTTACCAATCATCATTTATTATATTTTTTTATATTCTTCAATTATTCAATACAAATAATCAATATTCCACATTTTCTACTAATTATACTACCATAATACAAATAATTAATATTCCACCTTTTCTACCAATTATACTACCATGAAACACTACGTGACCGTATTTCCGGACTACCGAATTATCATCCGTGCATATAAGACCTCGTTTGTGAATATTTTATTTTTGTAATTTTTGATTTTTTTTGGCTAAAATATGAGGTAAAAAAATTGATATACTTATGATATTTTTTTATTTTAGAAAAAAAGAATATTTAACTTTTTTTAATAATTTATTAATTTTTTAATAACTTTTTAACTTAAACTAAAATAAACACTTTCCAAACGAAAACGAGACCTAAGCTCTTAAACATTCTCCCCTTACAAGTCAGTTTTTGAGTGTGAGTTTTACACGAGATTCATATCATTCTAGTTAAAATTTTATTTTGGGTGTTCCATGGCTTTTTAGTTGGATTGCAAAAAAATTAATTTTAACTTGAATTAATTTCTGATCTGAGAAAAACTTGGATTAATTTTTGAAAGGATTATTTACTTATAAATATAGCGCAACTCTCTTATTTAAAATAAACTTATCTATTTTTCAATTGGATCTATTTTTTATATTCTTTTTAGACTTTCAATCCTTACATACTTGTTGGCTTTTTTGGCTTTCGAAGGTAACTTTTGTAATTATGAGCATGCCAGCAATGATCAATTAGTCCTTACAGAAAATTAATTGCCAACCAATTATCAGACGATTGTGTTTTAGTTCTTTCAACTTCAATGAAAAAGATTTTTACTGGTGGCTTGATTTAAGAGAATTAAGCAAATAACAATTAAATGAAGAACAATTAAAGCATTTCATTAAAATGAAAACTTACAATGATCCAAACTCAGCCTCGTAGAGGTTTATAGCAACAATCTACTTGAAACTACTCCTATGAATGAAGTGCAGTGCAGGAATTTTAAAGTGCAGAAATGTAAAGAACATGAAATGTAAAACTGGAAAGGAAATAAAGTAGAATAAGACTGGTTTTTTGGATCTGAGTCTGGGGGTTTTTTCTGGGGCCTTCTCTGCTATTTATACTTCTCAAGGATGACTATCGAACTGCATTTCCAACCGTTGAACTGCTCCTCCATGATCGCTGATCATGTTGCCTTATAATTAGCTCTACTATGTCATCACTTGCAGTTAGGTTTCCCTCATAATTTGGAATTTGAATGTGAGTAACCGTTGAAGCCACATCATTCTGTATCTCTTTGCTGATCCAATGCTACTCAGATCTCGTAATAACCAATGCTAACTATCACGTGTACGATTATGATTAAAGACTTGAATAGTCTTCCTGTATTACCCTTATTCTGCCACGCGTCGAATTGTAATTGGCTTATACAAAATATGTAGCCAACATTACCCCCCGCACTAATATACCCAATACTTGGTGATATTAGTGGATCAAGGTCTTTTATCCACGTCTTAAAACGTGCATGGGATTTGCATTCTTGTAGAAATGCAACTGTCATTCATCATTTGCATTAAACTCTCCTTCAATCTTTTGAACATCCTCACCACCTTAGTATTCGAACAGACTGATACATTTTTTATGGCCGAATCAATTTTCTCCTCCATTGATCGAGCACACGAAGAGTCATCTGATGATGTTGTTCCTCCTCGAAAGAACCTCCATGCATTAATTAGCCACATTTACTCACCTTTCTATATTTAAGTCATGGAAGCCTTTGCAAACTATCAACCCTTGGACTACGAACAAACTGCCCTCAATCCTTTGATTCAGAAAGTTACAAATATGGACATGGGAAGTTCTTCTTCTGATTCACCCTCGGACTACAAACAAACTGCCCTCAATCATTTGATTCAGAAAGTTGCAAATATGGACATGGGAAGTTCTTCTTCACAATCCTCTGCATGGGATAAGGCTATGGCTTCTTCTTCCTCTGGGGCTTCTAACTGGGCAAGCTGGTCGGAACCTGAGGCCTGTGATTTAAGGGAGCGAATTAACCATCACTTTGTCGAGTTCACTGATCCTTTAGAGTTCCCTTCCTATGCGCGAAGCTCGGTGGTTTACACTTACGTGCCCATCGACCGATGACGCAGTTTGGAGGACAATCTGCTTGTAGCATGGTACACATCCCCCATGCCTATAAAGATAGTATATGCTACCCGACGCCCAAAAGAGGCACAAGGGTACAATCCATCATTCTTAGCCCAGAAGGTGAAGCTTTGCTCTTCTGACTGGCTCGATTATATTAATGCCCTTGTTTCTTCTGCCCTTGTTCCTTCTCTTGAAGTGGAAACTTCCATACCTCCTCCTCCGCCAAATCCTTGCTGGACAGAGAGACTGAGGCTTGCCCTCTCTGCGAATAAGGTCTTTCCTCCTTACAAGCCTCCACCTTCCCCTTCTCCAGCTGAGCGGAAGCAAGCCCAACTTCTGCTTGCGGCCTTCTCTCACTTGCCTTTCAATGTTCTTGAGGACGACATCCCTCTCAAGAACCTTCGATGGGCTTGTGACATTCTGACTCGGGGTCACGTCCTCAACCCCCTCGCCCAAGCAGAGCTTCACATGTTTTTGGACCAACTCCCATTGTTTTTTCACTGGTATCGAACTTCTGTGGCCACCACTCAATTTTTGGACCAACTCTCATCCCTTCGAGTTCATGCCCAGTACGAAGCAGTGAACCTCATTGAAGAATTCGATAACTTCAAGAATAAAGATTCTGCGTACTGGGATGACTTGGATATGGACGAGATGGAACAGGGATTGAAAGAAACATCGTTCGAAATAAAAGGCTGAAGAGCTCTTTTATCAAGTGAGAGCACATCAACTTCAGCAGCCAATTTTGGAAGAAATAGAGGATAGAATAAAGAAAGAACATAAATTCATTTACCATAGCTGGACCAAATTCCATGATCTTGTTATTTATTCTATTCCTTACTTTTATGAGCTCGAATTTGTACCCAAAGAGGGTCATTCGATGTAATTGTTTTTGCTTTAATACAACTAAGTTGTTTGTCATTGTTTGATTTTGTCTCCGTTTGTCTTTAAAAGCAAATTTAGGGCTTCGAACTGAACAATCTTATCTTTCGAATCCGGATTCAATCGTTTTAAATGAAACACTAAAAAACCAACATGAACTTTTCCAATTTATGGATTATAGTTGACAGTTTTTGCTGATTTTTATTTAGAATCAGTGCTTCGAATTTAACAATCTTGCCCCTTAAAGCTTGTTTTAATCATAACCAAAATATGGTCATGGTTAATACGATCAATCAGTTTTAAATTGACCATTTTTGTTTCGAACAACAGTCCATACTTTCAAAAATATGGAAGCCTTTTTTGAGGGCTGCGCTGTTTTAGTCCGAAAAGACAATCCTTTCGGTATATATAAACCAACTATTGGTTTTGATGTTTCGAACACCAATTCCCATCCTTAAGGGGTATCAAGTTTTGCTTCGAAGGACATTACTCTCATTAAAAAGCCTAAAACAGTTTTTTAATCCCTTTGAAGTAAACAAATACTTGTGCATTCATACATCTTTAGGTATAGAATGTGCTTCGAAGGCGGCTTCTCAGTTCCGAAGCCGCTGTTATTTGACTTTTGGCACCAAAATCTGGTTTTGAAGCCAAATATTTTATTTTGAAGCTGACATCAACATCTGGGATGTGTTTTTCCCTCCAAAAGTATCAATATTGAAGGAAACTCTTCGTATCTGTACCTTTAGTACTTTACGAATTACACGATATATTTTCAAGGCACAAAGGTTCTTTAAAACCCTTTTATTTCGTGTTCTGAAATCACTCGCTCGCTTAACACATAAACCCTTCTCCTCTATTAACTCTCTCTTCCTCGCTGTTTGCTACCAATGGATTCTTCTTCTCTGAAAGTACTTGCTGGCGATCGTATAAGCCCAACCATGGCTTTGAAAAGATGTATCGATGAAGAAATCGCCAAGTTAACAACTGATGGGTCAAGTGCCATAGATGGACACCTCTTTGTTCCTCGTCACAGCCACAAACAAGGATATGTCCTCGGTCCTATCTTTCGAGAAGCTCCTGCTCAACTTCTAGCTTTATACCCTCGCTTGGAGGACCACTTTCTTCTCTACAAATGAGGGCTCGACTGGGGAAATTGGAGAATGACCCGACCTCACCGTTGCTAGCCGACATTGAGAGCTGAATGGGAGGAATGGTATGAGAGAGTTGTGCCTGCAAGAGAAGATGACCTGAAAGAGCTTTGTATTCTCGATGCCCTTCGTCTTTCCAAGTTTAGCATTCCTGAAGACCCTTTTTTGATTCCTGCTACTCTTTACTTTTGGAACATGGCTTTTAATTTTAGAGATAGAGAACTTGTTTCCTTTATTTTATACTGGTTGTGTAAGTTTCTCTTTTGTACATCATCTCAAAGGATTATGCCTGAATTCGCCCCACTTGCGAAGGCACTTGTTTTGAAAAAACACATAGCCCTGGCTCCTTACCTCTTAGGCCATGTTTATAGAGCATGTTCCCAATTTTGTGAGAAACCTCTTGATGTTAACCAAGGGGGTCCCCTTTGGGTGCTCC